AGATATAGTCATTAGTAAATCTCTTGAAAATCAAAATTTCATGGCCGAGAAAGAATGATAAAAAACCATTTGTGGTTTCCGAACTGATTTGATGAAATCACGTACTAATATTTTTTTTAGATCAATTATCATTTCAGGATATCTAGAAAGCAGATAACAATAAAAGTATACTGACCACATCAATAATTTGCTGCAAGGTTAGGCCGAATTTCACTTCCAAAGGTTCCGATTCGTTGGCAACAGGTCTTTCCAAAACATTGTACGAATTAAGTAGACTGTTGAGCAGGACCTTCTCATGTGGACCTTGTTTCGAACCTGAAAAAAAAAAAAGGATTTATGAGCCTTTGCGTGATTTGGTTAAGTTGTCGTTGCTTGGGGTTGTTCTTGTTGGAATTCAATTCAACGCAGACTTCAGTCGGTATCTAGTATACAGTGTGCCCCAGCTGGAACTTTTTTTTCATAAACTACAGCTTACGATTTGATCCCCACAAACTTCATTTTCGAAAATATATCACATATATCATGACATGTTTCGCTATCATAGTAGTTTTTCCGCTACTGTCAAGTACTAAAAGGTCTACCTTGGGACAAAATTTGAAATATTTATTAAAGTTTCAGGGCATACTACGATATTTTTTCTTAGTCGCAAATCGGGATTTTTTATTAGCGATTTTTTTATTGAAAAAATCACTACGCCACTGGATTCAGAGTGCCTCTAAATAAGTGTGACCAAAATTTCATGAAAAAATATTCATTATTAACAAAGTTATGACAACTCAAAAATTCGAAAACTCACACAGCCAACAGTCACAATATATCATTTTTTTATGATTTCAACAGTAAAGTGCCGCCAGATGAATGTAATTCCGTTATGAAAATAACGGAATTACATTCACACAATTCAACTAACAATGAAGCAAAGAAGTTTAATAAACGTAACTAATTATTGAAATGTTTCGATTTAGTTCAACAATTAATTCTAACTCATATTCTCCACCACGTATTTCGATACATGTGTCGTAGTGCTTACGAATGTATCTGATTACGTTCCTTAGTTCTTGAGGGCTAATATCTGCACATACCTGTCGAATTCTTGCACAAAGTTCATTTCTATCTCTTGATCGGTTTTTGTTAACCTTTTGTGTGAGAAGTCCCCAGAGAAAAAAGTTCAAAACTGTGAGGTATGGAGATCTGGGTGGTCACTCTATAAACGGACTACCACGGCCTATCCATCGGTTTGGAAAATGTTCGTTAAGCCATTGCCTCACAGCTCTGGCAAAGGACCAATAATTCGATCATTCAATATCCCACACCAGACGTTGATTTTTTGGGAATACTGGCTTTTACAGTTTATTACCCGCTTAGGATTATCCGCTGCCCAATAGCGACAATTCTGTGATGACACTACTCCATTTGTAGTGAAAGTGGCTTCGCCGGTATATGAAATATTTTTTAGGAAATTTCTATTGTTTAAATACTCCCCTTGGGCCCATAAACAATATTCCAGGTGTCTTGCTTCGTCGACTTCTTGAAGTGTGTGTAAAAATGTTGGCTTGAAAGGTTTAATATTCTTCGCCTTGAGACATCTCCGAATAGTTTCTCGTGGAATATTCAAATCTATAGTCAGTATGAAAACACTTGAGAAAGCTTTCGTAGAGCGAAACACGTGTTGCGTTTTTGTAAACTGTCTGGTTAAAATCTCACAATAAAGTGTTACTCGAATATTTTTTGTAACAAAAAAACGGTTCTCTCGAAGCTCGTTTCGCTAACGAAGTTAGTATCATCAGGATAGTACCAAAACTTAGTCATCAAACAGTATTATTGTTCTGGCGTAGAAAACGTGTTTAATAGATGTGAATAACATGTTAGAAAATTAATATATCATGTTGTATCGAAATGATATTTCATCAACCAATAAAACAATGGAATTCAGCTACGGGCATATCACAAAGGGTTAGAATGACGTGATACAAAACAGGGGTCGAATGGATTTGATAAATTTATAAGTGATTGAAAGTGAACCTCAGTTCCTACGTTTCTGTGGTTTTCCACGAATATTAATTGGCACATTCGTTACGATAATAAAACATGTCGAAAGCAACCTCGGGTTGCCTCATCGTGTTACAGTCTATAGGGTTGAGGGTCGTAGGGGTAGCGAAGCAGAAATTCTCAGAACTAAATGTAGCTGAACTCTGTTGTGATATCGCATTACCATCTTCCTCAAACCTGAAAGATCCGGAATATTACTGCCTAAAATATATGCAACAAAACTTTATTGACTGGAACGTTCCATATCGAGGGATCTTAAACAAATTAGCCATTTTGGTACCCTCACTTTGATATTCAAATATTACTTTTTATATTCTTACATTTCTAGAATCTAAAAAACTGTTTCAATGCTACTGTAAATCCAAGTCACATATATAACAAGAAATAAGGCTAATTCGGAAAAAACTTTTGGCTTTCAACTTCTTGCCAAAAAAAAGGTGAATGTTCAAATTTCGCGGGCTACCATAAGGGATTTTTCTATGTTGGTACACTCTTCTTGAACATATGTTCAGTTTCAGCTGTTTAGCATGTTTAGTTTGTTGGTGAGAGGCATAAAAGTCAGCAGTGTTCCTTTATTTAACCCCGTTGTTTGAACACCGTTAACCAAACATCAATTTTCCAATCATTTCCATCACAATTTCTTTATGAGTTATTGCAGTTATTGACAGAAGCGAATAAATTTTAGTGCACTTTGAATGAATATGGTCGTTAACAAGGTTTCAAGATTTATAGCCGTGATAACACGTTTGCAGATTTAGTTTTATTGTGGTCACGACATTTATTGCCGTTTTAATGGCGTTTGCGATTAAGTTAGGCTTCATTTGGGGTGGTCAGTATCCAGGGCATTATTGGTTCAGTTTCCTTCCCTATTTAGAATATACAAGGATTCAGAAATGAACTTGTGTTGAAAATTTCAAAAAACATGTGTTCAGTGATATTTTTTGAGTTGACAACCTTTGACAATCTGAAAAAAATGGATCAAAAGAATCTGGGAATATGTATATTTCTTTTGACAAATATCAGAGGAATAAAATGTTATATAACGAAAAGTCACTAGTTTTGCCAAAAAAGTCAGTAAATTTAGCAAGATCCATATAGTGAGAGTACGAGAATCGAAATTAACCCAAATAAATCTCTATACGTGAAAAACAGATCCATCTCATTGATTTTTTAACTAGATTCATCGAAATTCTGGTTATACAGTCAAACATGTATTATATTTATTTAAATTTTACCGGATTCCTATCGATTATGTAACCAACTTCGTTGGAATCCTGTTGATTTTGTCACTAGATCCATTGAATTTCTGGTTCATTTTGTCACAAGGCTCATTGAAGTACTGTTAATTTTGCTACTAGATCTATCGGAATCCTATTAATTTCGTTACTAAATTCACTAAAAATTCATTATATTTACTAAAATTCCATGTGTGAATGAAGAGGATATGCCCCCTCTTCCTCAAAATCCCATGCCGGAGATTCACATGTGAAAATGGACATTTTGGTCCTCGTTCTCTCATAGCATATCTACTTTTGCCGTTTTGAAAAAGCTAAGCATATACATTACTGACTATTTGGACTTTTCGAATTTATTCTTTGAGGTGAACTTTTCAATTTGCCCTTTATTCCACTATCACTCTGTGATATCGGATATCATCAGTAGGGGAGACCGGGGATGGTTGGTACATTCGTAAAATTTCGGAATCCGTTCGGTTAACACCAGCACTTTTGCACTTTTGTCAATACTTAACAAATATAAAACTTTGATTTATAATGTTTCAACATTTAGTTTTGACATTTCTAACGTAAAAAGTGCATTGGGGATGGTTGGTACAAACTGCAAGGGGCTGGTTGGTATAGTGTACCAAGCAACCCCCGGATATTATGCTAAGGGCGGTTAGAGCCGTAAAATTGGAAGGGCAATCTCTAAGATCTGCTGCCAGTGACTTCGAAATTCCATTCAACACATTAAGAAGATATTGCTTCAAGTTTGCAGTAGAGGAACTGCAATCAGAAAGAGAAATGCCTTCAACAGTTGTTGGATATTTTAAAAATAGAGAGGTAGGTTTTTTAAAAAATATACTTCATGATCTAGTTTCTAGTAAAATTTTTGGTTTTAGATTTTCACCGAGCTTCAAGAGTCCAATCTCACAGATTACATAAAAAAAGCTGCCGATATTTACTATGGTCTTACGCCCAAAGAAGTGAAAAAGATTAGCTTATTTATATGCAACTTCTTTGCACATGACGGTTCCAAATAGCTGGAAGAAAAATGAGATGGCAGGCCCCGACTGGTTTACATCATTTTTGAAGCGAAATGCTAGATTGGCTATAAGGACACCTGAAGCCACCAGTTTGTCTAGAGCCACGAGCTTCAATAAAACAAATGTAGACAGATTTTTCAGCAATCTAGAAATTGTTCTTAGAACGTATAACTTTAGTCCTGTGGACATCTGGAATATGGACGAAACAGGGATTACTACAGTTCAGAGACCGGACCGAATTGTGGGTAGACGTGATGTCAAACAAGTGGGAAGAGTTACTTTGGCGTGTGCTGTTTCTGCTGCTGGAAATACTGTGCCACCTTTCTCCATTCTTCCTCGTGTTCATTTCAAGCCCCATTTTCTCAGAGATACCCCGCCTGGAAGCGATGGAAGTGACAATCTATCAGGCTGGATGAAAGAAGTTCATTTTATACAATATATCCAGCATTTTATTCAATACTCCAAGGCGTCTAAAGAAAGCCCTCTTCTGCTTTTGATAGACAACCACGATTCGCATTTATCTCCCGAAGCACTAAACATCTGCAAAGATCACGGCGTAACAGTGTTATCCTTTCCGCCTCACTGTAGCCATAAGCTCCAACCTCTGGATCGCAGTGTGTATGGACCGTTAAAGAAGTATGTCAATAGTGCTTGTGATTCTCAGATGACTAATCGTCCGGGTGCAAAGATGACCATTTATGACATACCCAGTATTGTTCGTACTGCACTACCATTAGCGGCAACTCCAAACAACATTACAGCTGGATTCCAAGTTTCCGGAATTTATCCATTTAATAGGGATATTTTTCCGGACAGTGAATTTATGGCTGCTTATGTTACAGACAGACCAGATCCTGAACAAGATTTGCAAGATATTGAGCGAAACGTAAATCCTGGTGAAGTATTGGGAGTTGAAGCAAATCTACCTGAACTTGGTCAAATTACACCCATCGAAGAGGCTTTAAACCATGTCGACAACCCCTTGCCAGACCAAGAGACTAATCCCAACGAAGACGTGCAACAAGCTGGACCAAGCAGAATTGCAGAAAATAAGACGCCCACGCCCCAGAATTCTCAGTGTCTCCAGTCATCTAACAAAGTAGCATCATGTAGTTTTACAGATCTCGAAAATTTGAAGCCGTTTCCAAAAGCCGCAGAAAGGAAAGTGCAACGGGGTCGCACAAAAAGAAAATGTGAAATCTTGACAGATACGCCCATCAAAGATGCATTAGAAGAAGAAAAAAAGAAAATAAAACGAGATCGATAAAAAAACAGGTCTTTGGCAAAACTAAAAAGAACACAAAAAAACAAGCAAATGCGAAGAATTCAAAAATTAAAGACGATTCAAGCAGTGATGAAGAAACCTTCTGCCTGCTTTGCGTTGAACCCTGGTCAAATAGTTTGCCTAACGAGAAATGGATTCAGTGCATCCAATACAAATTGTGGGCACATAAAAAATGCGCAGATGCGGGCTTGTTCTGCGTTTGTCATAATTGTGATTCGGATGGTTCTGACTAGATTATTCACTTTTTTAACGGATAGGTACCGTTTTTTTTGTATTACAATTTTTTTCGCAGGCTGATTCTTATATAAAAAAATAAAAACAATAATCATTTTCTTAGTTTTTGCCTTGACCAACCAACCCCAAGGTATGTACCAACCATCCCCAAATACGTGGTTGCTTGGTACACTTGCATCCTTAAGGAAAAAATTAAATTCTGGATTTAGGATAGATCCAAACATTACATAATTTGAAATTTATGTAAACAAAACAACACTAATCTGGAAATCAAATGTATTTTCTCACTATCAACAATGAAAAAATTAGAGGGGCTTCAATTTGAAAAGCGTACCAACCAGCCCCGGTCTCCCCTATGGTTTCCGAAAGTGAAGGTCAACAGGTGATCTTACAAAAATATATTAGCCACCTTCACAACAATGCAGCTGAGAAATACCTAAAGCCCTTGGCTTTCTGAATAGTTCACAAGTACTTCGATTTTACTATTCATCATAGTTGTAAGTACTGACCTAGTAATGAAAGGACATTTTTCATTCATAGAAATCATGGCCCACTGTGAATATATAATTGAAATGGATACCACTAGGTTTTGGCCTCAGTCACAGCTCACTGGGATAGCAGAAAGCTTTTTAGGAACTTGAAACACCATTCTGAATTAGAAAGTAGTATACACCTCAGCAACTCTTAACACATTATGAAGTTTAACTGAACATTTAGGATGTTGCTCATACATATGGAGCTGTGCCCCAAAGCATCACCTATTGCTGGTAAATTATATCTAGGAAAGAGCCATCCACTTGATTGAAAACCCAAACGTCATCAGCAAACTTGATGCCTAGAACATCAAAGTAAGGTTGGGAACTGTCTTCTATAAATATTTCGACGTGTATTTGACTAGCTAAGCACATTTGATTTCAATCGAGGCGATATATGCCAAAATAGAAAATGGAAAACCACTGTTATCGCATGTAGGGAGACTTGAATAGCTTAAATGATTGATTCCTGTTTTCATTTGATGTTGAATTGATTAAGACTCCTACGCATTTGGATATCATCAAAACATAATCTGCTCACGAAGTTCAAATGAATGATATTCAGTTCAATCGAATGGTTTGCTAATCAGATCATATGCATTTGAAAAGATTTAATATACGTCTAAATCAAAAATTCACATCCCACATTAATTTATGTAGGAAATTTAAAAATTATAACAAAATTCACCGTTGTTATTAAAACAATAACAACAAAATTAAAATAAAAAATAAAATACAGCACACATATTACGAATCGTAAAATTCTTGCAAATTATAAAAACATTTCTCAATCAAATAATTCTTCAACAAGTTACTGAATTTATTGAGGTTTGTTATGTCTTCTAGACACCTAGGGAACTTATTGAAAATAGTAAGACCTACCACTGATGGAATGGTTACTTTTCAAACTGACACTCTGTATGTGCATCTACATGTAAAAAGTCGTAGTCTCCCATTTGACGGAAATCATCTGCTCATGAGACCCGAATATATGAGACTCAATTCATTCGAATAGTTTGTTAACCAGTCTTCATTCTATCGGATCCACATCAAAAGTCAGAAATTCATATTCCACTTGACAAGTTATGAATAGAGTAGCGTTTCAAAGAGCCTCGTGTCTGCTTTGATCCAACAATAATTCCAACATGACCAAATTCGAAAACTCTAAATATATGTCCAGTTGGTAGTATCAAATCGTTTACGAATCATGTTCTCAAAGAGAAAAAACCTCACTCGACAATATTGGCCGTTTTCAATTTTGTTGGGTGGTTCAGTGACGTGGCATATTTTTTATTGTATCAGTTTCACATCAACGTGTGACTATGAGCTTTAATCAAACTTTGTAAATCAATGGAAAATACGTTTACAGTTATCGATTAAACATACAAATAAAAAATTAACACAAACTCAGCAAATAATTATTCATCATACAAAATATACATTCATAGTCTTCAGTGCGAAACTTATTGCTGTTTGCCAATGATTGAAATATTAATGTCAGGATTAATGGAACTTATTCTTCAGTCTTGAGTCCTCTTCAATACTTATTCTGCTTCTATGTTCATTTTTTATGTACAAGAAATCAGAAAATCCACTCTCACACAAGTAACTCATAATAAATGGCATCGAAAATAGCAGAGCTTTAGAGCGAGAAATGCAGATGAATTATTCTCCTGTGTTTATGAACAAAACAATACTAACTTTCTCTAGAAGGAGATTATTTTGTTAGTGATTGCGAAGGCTGTTGTGTTTGGTCCTTGAAGTCCCAACTTCAGTGTGTTGAGTTCGTCAGAAATGTAAACAGCAGTCGACTGTATGGGTGTTTCAAGATGAGCCAGATCCAACAAAAATTGTTCGCGCACGAAGCACTTCCAAGCGAAAAGTCGCCTGTTTTTTCGGAAAAACTGGACATGTTGCAACCGTACCACTAGAACAACGCAGAGCAGTCAATTCTGAGTGGTACACAACCATTTGTTTGCCAGTTGTCTTCCAAGAAATCAAGAAAACCAACCGCCGAAGATGGATCACTCTTCACCACGACAATGCGAGCTCTCACACATCAGCTCAAACAACTGCATGGTTGAGCACCCAAAACATCGATTTGATGAGTTATCCGCCGTTTAGTCCTGACTTGGCACCGAATGACTTCTTTTTATTCGCGCACGTGAAAAACAAACTGAGAGGTCAACGTTTTTCAACACCTGAAGAAGCGGTTGTTTTGGAGATACCTCAATCAGAGTGGCAAAAGTGTTTCGACGAATAACCCAACAAACCATAGCTCGAGAAACCGTTAGTGGCTGCTATTTCATGTATTGTACGTCTTTCTTTTGTGAACCTATCATGTGTTAGAGGGAAAGTCAAAAGACGATGCACCAAAAAATTCAACCCAGCACGTTTGCGCTGTCCACAGTGATGTGAACTGTCAGGAATATACCAGTACGTGCTTGTTTTTTTCCTAAATATATCGTATTCTAACCCTCCATATTGGCTCATCATTACCAAAACGTCAAGAAATGGTAGTGTTCTTGACTTAGCCAAATCCTAGGAAAATACTTTGACTTTTCTTTGGTTTCCATTTCAAATTTGCTCATGAACAGGTCTGCCAGGTAGGGGGACAAGGAATTTCTCATGGCAGTTCCTTCCTGTTGTTCATAAAAGCAACCTTCTACCTGGAACCGATTTTGTTTCATACACAAATTAGTAAGAGAAACGAATTCATCGATTTCGTTATTATTGAAATTATTTTTCTATAGTAATTCCCTGAGGTATTGCAAGGTCTGTGGAATTGGAACGCTAGGAAATAAGGAACTAACATTAAAAGAAACCAAAATCCCACCTTCTTGCAGAACCATGTTTTTTGTATGTTGTATGAACTCTGAAGAGTTTTTTATACTAAAACCTGGTTCCGCAATAGACAAGGTTTCAAATTCCTACCTTGCTATTTGGTAGGTAGAAGCTCCAATAGCCTGACACGATGGGGCGCATTGATTTTTTTGGTTTGTGGATTTTTGGGAGGCAGTATAGTTTCGACACCATTGGGTTGGAAACTTGTAACTTCCGTTTCAGTTTACGGGTAAGTATGTTGTCGCATTTCTTGAGAACGACTTTTACTTCGGCAATCATCTTTGGTAACGAGTTTCTGGACAATTTCGCAAACGGTCCGTTAGTAATGAGAGTATTGACCCATTCGTAGTAGTCCGATTTATCCAGAATTACTACTTTGTTACCTTTGTTGACTTTCAATCTGTCTTTCAATCGTTTGATAAGTTTTTTTTGGTTTTTATCGTTATTTATTGAATGAAGAACGAAGAACTTTGGAAAGATTTCCAAGGAACTAGGTATGAAGGTGGTTTTTAAAACAAGTCATACACTACAGAGCAAAAGACCAAAAGACAAAGTCGAGAATTCGAAAAAGTCTGAAATTTACGAAATTGAATGTAAGGACTGTGATGCAAAATATTATGGACAGACCAAAAGATCTATTAAAGTGAGATATAAGGAACACATAGCACACTTAAAATATGGAAGACCTAAAAAATCAGCAGTCACCCATCATATTTTGCAACAAAACCATTCCATAGACTTCAGTTCATTAAGATTAGTTAGATCAGTTAACAACAACAGGCAACTAGATGCCTATGAGAGTGTAGAAATAAGTAAATGTAGTAATATTATGAATAACGATGACGGACCTATACCAAAGAGCATACTATACAGTTGTTAAAATAATGTTGTTGGGTTTACTGATTACTACAAAGAACGAATTGCAAAAATAAATTTTGATAGGCAATATTGTGAAATTGATTTCTTTATATAGCTGAAAATTGTTTTATATATAGCTATAACATTTAAACATTACATAAGGACATATTGTAAAATAATAGATGAGGCTAATTGTAAAATTAATTTAGGGTGGTATACGTGTATGTGTGGTATTCCTGTATGGTTTACCTGTATGATATATCTGTATAGCATAAATAGCTACAGTTTCACGAAGTTTTCAGTTTTATCTTCCTCTTGAAGATGATCACTTGGTGATACGAAACACGTGTCGAGGTGTTAAAAATAACGATTTGGTGTTGGGAAAAAAGTCCAGTAATATTCATTGGTACACCAGAGGTTCCAAACAGTGCATCATAATGGCACTGTAAAGATATCAAAATGACGTGTTGGCTTTATATTGCATGAGCATTTGACCATGAGAAAGCTCTGTTC